TGAGATAAATTAGAAAATTTCTGATAACTGAAAAGAGACAGTGGATTTCACATGGGCCTTTTCTCACAGATCTTCAGGAAATAGGAGGAAGGAAGTCAAGTGATGTCATCAGTGTGATTTTTATTTCAAAATAAATGATTTTTGTTAAACGGTAACACCAGTGACACAACTCCAGGGGACCACTACTTTCATTATATATTTTATAATATTTATTTGGCATTTTGTTTTTTTATGTCATTTACATCATATATTTGATAGTTATGAGTACATCATTGTATTTTAAATGGTAGAAAAACCTGTTTTTGACCTAAAAATAAAGCACTTTTCCTCTGAACATGGCTGTGGGGACTAGCAGTTTTGTAGTGCTTGGAATTTTTTATAATTAAAAATAAATATTGCCACATTGATGGCTCAAGAGGGTGTAATTGTTCAAATAACACATTGTTTTATTTTAAAATATAAAAAAATTGTAACGCTAAAAAAGTGTTTTTCAAGTGTAATATTTCTGTAAAGGCTAGGGACAGAAATGTGGACGTTTCCATAGAATTACCCTATTGTGAAACTATTAAAATAATGTGTTTAAACTCTAACCCTATCTCTTAACATCTAACTATTTTAATATAATCACTTCTAATAAATGTGACACTTTTTTTCCCCAGCAGAATTGTAAACATGACGTAGTCTCCTCAGTAGTATCAAGCTTGAATAAATGTGAATGCTGCAGTGGACCCTTTTCCGCTTTTAAGTGGATTGGTGTGAGATGTAAGGGTAAGTATTTTGTTCTGAAAATTAAAAGATTCTCATCTAAATGATTTTGTACCATCAAAAACCAAATTATTGTGTAATCTTGATATCCTAAATATATCATATTTTGGCTTAAAAAAAAGCTGACCTTTCTTTCTTTCTCCACCTATCTACCTGTGTAATTGTATCTGTTCATATTTCTCAATCTCTCCCTGAAGTTCTGTTGGATGCTCTCCTACTTAATCCCCCTTCATTCTTAGTTTACTAATTTTTCTTACTTTTTTTCCTCCGTTTTCTTTTCTCTATTCTCTTCCATCTTCTAGCCGCACTTTCGAACACACTAATTCTCTATCGCTCTGTTATTTATCACTTTTTAAAGCAACTTTTCTTGAATCAAATGGAACCAACCTTGTTTATTATATCCTCAATCTAGTTTGTTCCTGCTTCTGGCATAAAACTTGCTACAAGAAAAATGTGAAGCCCAAACCTGACCCATTAACATCAGTAAGTGTGATTTATCGAATAGTCAGAATTTTTTTTTTTTTTTTGAGTAATTTTTCCTTAGAAGTAAAGTTTTTGAATATGTACAAATAATATTTTTGCTATTTCAGGATTCTGAAGAAGAATTTTCCAGTGAGAATTTGTCAGATCGGGACTATGTACCTAATTCTGTTTCAGAAAGTTCAGAAGTGGGCATAGTGTCTTCAGAAAATGAATGTCCTGAACAACTCTTAAACATGCCGACTACTAAAGTGTCCTGCTTTGAATCTACTGCAGAAATTCAAAATGGCAGACCATGCCAAGACAGCATCATAGGTAAAGATTCACACCCAAAAGATCCAGTCTGCACAGCACAGCTTGAAAGGTCTTGTATGAAAGCCAAGCAAGTACAACCCAGCTAACAGGGAACGTTACCAGAACATTCACTAACGTTCT